CATAACCAGACGTGTAGGAATAACTTCCCTGCAACGTGTAAGTGGCTGCTGCTGGATAGTGAGTGGCCAGAGTGCTGGAGGTGGCATTTAGTGCTGGCATGGGGCTCTAAATTAGAAACTCAGAGAACCACTTGCCTTTTCTCATCCCCATTTCTGTTGTTTTTTAGCCCGTGGAAGAGGTTCAGATGAGCACACACCACGCTGAGAAGACCCAAGGCTTTCTGCTCGGAGCAGTTCTCCAGGTCAGAAGCAGAGCAGCAAGCACAGGGCCAGCTGGGGCTGCTCTGAGCCCTCAGTGCTCTGAGCCTCTGGAATTCTTCTCTCCTGATAAGCAGAGGCTGCACGGTTGTACCCTATTCCAGCCACACTCAAGTGCTGGCAATTCAAAATTACTATCCCAAAAATGAGACAAGATGTTGTTAAGTCTCATATACAATTTCTTTTCAATTCCTACCATCAATTATTCCACTTGTCTGTAATGGCTTCAGACTCTTTTATCTTCCTCTCAGTGGATTTCTCTGCTGCTTTGCATTTAAATTCACCTTGTCTTCCTGAATACACAGACAAACTGTAAGCAATAAATGAGCCAGGCAAAAACAAACCTGTTGTTATTTTCTTGGCTTTCTCTGCTGTCCTGAGCAAAGGATGTTTCTATATCCCTTTGAGAAAGCCATCCAATGATGAATAACTATTTGAAAACAAATGGGTAGGATTGCACCAGCCACCTACTTCTCAGCCTTAGAAAGAGTAGGAAAATCCACCCATCCATAAATATTTTTTAGGATGATAGTTATGAAAATAAAGTAGGCTGGAACGTTCCCTATCAGGCCAGGCTGCAGCATTCAGCTTATATCAATTACTGTCTATTTGACATGCTTCATGCTCCCTTCATTAACAGGATGAAAGGTTTTATGGGATAATAACTCAGTTCCAGTGAGCAAATGTATTTGTGAGACCAAAGACTGAGTCCCTTGTCCTTGCAGAAGGAGCCTCGAGACTGCAGCAATTGGCAGTGGTGTAGGATGGATAAATCACAGGAGCACAACTTCTGTCCCACAGAGCACTGTCCCATCCATGAATCACTGAGGACAAAGGATCCTCACTGCAGGACAGCTGAGGGAGCAGAGATCATCTTGGTGAGGATGCTGCTGCAGGAGGGAAATAGAAGAGCCACTGACTTCAGTTGGATATTGAAGATGCTGTAATTGGAGTTACTGTCATGTTAAATGGTCCCTCATGGTTTCCTCATCTCAATCAAGGTTTGATTGAAGACCTGTGACCTGAATTTGTGGTCATTACCTTACCAGAACTTATTGGTTTTCTCGCTCTTCAGGCAGTAGGCAGATGGTAATTGTTTCCTAAAACATTTCTCAGCTGAACAGCAGTGACAAACACTCTTCTCACCTCAGAAAATCCCAGAGCACATTACAAACTGCCTGGGCAAAGAGGACAGATGTGTTTTCCTTGGATCTGGCAGGAGCCATGCAATAGCCACTCTCATCAGGGAAGGGGTATGCTTGGCTAATGGAAAATAATCATACCTGGCTTTCCACCCCAGCTGTCCCACTGTTAATCTCATTGTACCTGCACTCAAATTATCAGTAGGCATCCTCTTCTCCTTCTGCCTCAACTAATTACATGGAAAATCTCCTGTCCCAGCACAACCAGAGCAGACTGTGAGTAAGAATGGAGGAGGGTGTGCACTAAGGGATTGCTAACAAGAGGCAAACACTCTTTAATGCTCTCCAAGTTCTCCATTCCTCCACTGGGGCCAGCTGAGTTAGGACACAATGCATGTTCCCTCTTGCAGCCTGACTTTGCTGGGTGCAAAGAGCACAATTTTCCCCTGGCTGTGGTTTCTGGCTGTGTGGGACAGGACTGCATGGCAGGTTCTTGCTGCTAGGCTCTACTTCAGTTCACACAACCCATGCACCATAAAAAGAACAAAAAAACATCCACACAGATCAAATATTACCACACAATGGCATCAACATATCTCATTGACAGACCTAATCTATGTTCTGTATGAAAATGTGTATTCAAAACCCCACCATGTGAGATATAACCTGAGAGGAATCACAGTAAGAACTTAAGAGGGGTCTGTACTCATGGCAGGTGAAATCAAATTAGTAGTACAGAAATCATTTGCTTTAAGCTCAGACCATGGACTGAATTTAGAGCTCTAAATCAGTGTTTACCTTGTTGAATGATGGGTTCTTGCAGGAGAGCATTTACAACAAAAACAAAGCTTTTAATCCAAATCAGTGAGTGTCAGAGTTTGAATTATGGCTGTAAGAGAAAGTCTTTTGTTTCTGTCACCTCTTTAGTCAATGCTAATTTGACCAAGGTGTGAATGAGTTAGTGTTGCTCCCAAAAATTCTGTGAGTGCAAAGAGGCACCTTCTCCCAGCACACAGAGCCTTTGGAACTCCTTTTAGACATCCTCAGATGAAAAACCTGCCTTCAGATGATGGAAGACAGGTTAGAAACTTGCAGGATATTTATTCTGAGTAGCAAAGTCATGGCTACAACAAAACAACTGAAGAAAGGAGAGGTGCACAGTGGACACACACTGAAAGTTTCTCCTAATCTGCTCCAAGGTGAGACTGAAGGGCAACAACCCTGCCCAGCACAGCAGAGGAACAGCATGTCAGGAGACAGGAACAGCCTGTGGAGTTCTGCAGCAGATTTGGGAGACACAAGGTCACTCTGTACAGGGAGGTGTGAATTGCAGAGCCACCTCAGGTGGCTGCTCACTGCAGCACTTGCTCCATAAAGCATTTTTACTAAATTACTATTTACTAAAATACATCTCTTTTTTTCAATTTTTCTGGTCTGTCTGCAGTTATTTTGTGCAGACCCCACGGTCTCACTGGAAGCTTCTACTTGCAAAGTCTCCTTTAACATCCCTCAGAATTGGGAGAGATGCTAAACTGGCATGGCAAAAAAATAACAATCATTTGGGAGCAATTGATATCCTGCTGTTACAGACTTGCAAACACTCATTTCCATACCACCTACAGTTATGTGTGCATCTCTTTGTTCTGATATTGAGAAAAAAACCCATTTGTATTCTTTCAATACAAGCAATCCTTGGCTTGAATTTTTAGTTGGTCAAATAATGCTAAAGAAGGAAATATTGGAATTTCTGCCTGTGCCATGGGACTATTCAGGCAGGCAAACTCTATTACAGCCATGGTCTTATCAAAGGAAAGGTAAATCTCCTCATTAAATCTTGGTTGTTGTTATTTTCAAGAAGAGAGCCTCTCTACTGCAGGGAAAATGATGGGGAATGTGACAGGCAGTGGTGGCAGCCTGCACAGGAGCTGTGTGTGGAGCCAGGGGAAAGGGACAGCCACCCCTGCAGCTGGCACTGCTCAGCAGCCAGATGTGGGGACAGCCACATCTGCTGGGCCCCAGCTCCCGCCAGCACCACCTCTGGATTCCTGTGATCAGACACAAAACCAGTGTTGGCACATGAACACAATCTGGCATCCCTCTCTCACCTGCACAGAAACCAGCCAAGCAAAAAGCCACACGTGCACTTTGGCCTCCTGCCTGTGACTGACCTCTGGGCATCAGAAATTCAGTCAGGAAGGCTTCATTTGACAAGGACACATGCCAAAGCTCACCTTTCCAGAAGGATGTCCAAATTCTGAACCAATAAGTTAAAAGTAAAGCAATTAAGAGCACACTCCAATGGAAGTGGCCTTGAATCTTATTTTGTGTATTCATTTTTAATTATTCTTTGCATCCTTGGGCAAAATACTTTAGCCTGAATGCAGCAGAATATCCAACCACCTAAGTCCTACAAGATATGAGGTGCAATGCTAAAACAGAGCTCCCACAGCATCTCCACTAGACTTTTATTAGTCTGTCATCTGTTAAAATGGATATAAAATTAGCCCTGCTTTCCTACTGTCCTACCTTTTTGGGGAGAAGGGGAAAAGCTGAAAATATGGAGAGAGGATGAGGTACAAAAGCTTGTGACATAAGGATAATTCTGCTTATTTAACAAAGAAAAACATCTTAGAATATTACCTTGTGAGGGATGCAGTTTGAAAGCAGTCTGAGGTTTTCAGCAATTATGGTTAATGTATCTAGAAATAATCTAAATGGTTAGTAAAATGTTTATATTTATGTTATATGAAACTGGATATTAAAATTGCTTTTTTGACACTTCAAATGCAGGAAAGCTGTCTAGTCCTTTTACTAACACTCTTAAATGTTAATAAAACTTTTTCCTGCTATATTTTAAATGGAAGAGGTGGTGTAAACAACACTGCAGATGGGTCTCTTTGCTCTGCTGGGATATCCAGCTGTCCTTCAACCCACCAGACAGACTTTTGTTTACATATTCCCCATAAAATCGTTCAAGAACCTTTAACTCATGCCAGGATCCAAAGCTCTGTGCATTCAGTGGCCAAAGGGCACATTCTCTGACACCCACTCCCCCTGCTGAGCCAGCTGGGGACATTAATCCAGTTACAGGTGAAGGTACGATTTAGGAGGCTAGGAAGTCATACTGAGAGATTTTTTTTTTCATTTGTTGGCCATACCAGAGGCTTGGTTTTTATGTCAATCCATCTCAAATGAACCTAACTGTACCTCCCTTCAGTGGAGGCACCAACCTCTGCCTGGGGACCTTGGTCTCTGCTTGGCCAGGCTGGGAGGGACAAACCTGCTGCTCCACAAACCCTGGGGCAACAGGCCTGGCTGTAGCTTTGATACTCTGCTAAGCAAGGGAAACCTGGAATCAGTCAGGCCTTACTGAAAGCTCACATCAAAGGAAGCTTTTAATTTATTCTGAAGGATTTTAAATACCCCACCCCTCCAAAACAGCTGTAGTTCCCATTGTACCTACACAGGGTCAATTGCCACAATATTTAACTACATATGACAGAAGACACAACCTCCACTATGCCTTTAATTCTGAAAACAAATTACCAAGAAAACACTTAAGTCTTTGTAAAGACTTAAGTGTTGGTTTGTTTTCTTTTTGCTGTTGTTCCTGTTTGGTTGCTTCTTTCTGAGAGCAGACTGGATTGACTACAAAAGAGGAAGATAAGTTAAAAGTACCAAATCTATAAGAACCTAGTGTTCCAAGGAGCAAGCACTTGCACCTAAGAAACCTTTCTTGATTGTTGCTAATATCTATGATAATTAAGCTAAAAATACCCACAGAGCAATAGAATTTGAAGAGATAAGTCTATTGTCTTAAGCAAATAATGAAGCCAGGAAGAGTTAAATTGATCTCATGACTCTCATTTCAATAATAAAGCAGCAACAACTGTTAATCTATAGCACTCAGTTTAAATTACAAACCCAGCGCTGAATGGGCAATTTCATTAGAGAGAACACAGCTAAAAGGGAAACAGCTGGCAGGGAAAAAGAGTCATCCCCATTGAAATCCAACCTTCCTGAGAATTCCTCGTTGCTCTGTGCCCAGACTCATCAGCAGGGAGCAGTTCTCACAAATACCAGGTGTATCTGATGGAAGCTTTTGGTGTCCAAGCAATTCCCTTTGATTTCAGCCCCAAGGCCCCCGGACCCAGGGGGATGAGCCAGCTGCCCCAGGCTCCTCGAGGGATGGACACAGGGATGCCAGGAAGGGCAGGGAGAGGGAGGGGAGCAGGTCACCCCCACACCTGCCTGGAACCACCCCACAGCGCTGTCAGAGAGGCTCAGGACACAAGCTGTGTGTCCCCAAGGATAGGAGCAGCTCAGTGAGCAGATGGGAACTGGCTTTTTCCTCTTTTTATTCTTGTCCCTGAAATTAACACATGGTCTGCAAGCCAATCAAACTCACCCACGGATACCAGCACTGCCTAGAAGAGACAGCTAGCCTTTTAAATTAGATCCTTTCAAACACTTACACAGATCCTTGGATATTGCAGGGGCTGTGGAGCTGAAACCAATGAACATCCACGGAAGGTGAGGGGAGGAAAGGCTTCCACCATCTCTCCTGGCAGCTGTACAGAGCTTATGGGAGGGAGAACGTCCTGTTCTCACTGAAGGGAGCAGGCAGGACTATAAATATCCACATGCAGCATATTTACTGAAGGATGGAGTGCCATACTAACAACCATTTTCTCATGGTAGGACCAAATTTCACAGGTATTAGCAACTTCCTGAAATAAGTCAGAGAATCAGAGGGTAACTGAGGTGAGAAGGGGCCTATGAAAGCTTCCAGTACAGCCTCCTGTTTAAAGCTGGGACTACTCCTGTGCTAAGAGAGGTTGTTGAGGCTCTTTCCAGTTCTGTTCTGATAAATCTCAAGGATGGAGAGCCCACAGTCTCCCCAAGGAATATGGTTTCTGTGCTGCATAACCCTTATTTTGAGGATTTTTCCCCATATACAAACAGGAGTTTCCCTTGCTGCCATGCATGACCACAGCCTTGTCTCTGCAGCACTCTGTGGCAGAGTCTGAATCCATCATCTATCCTTCCCTTTCCATTAATGATAGACAGTGATTAGATGCACCCTTATCTCCCCCAGGAAAAACAAACCCAGCCCTCAGAGCCTCTTCTGAAATACCACGTGCTGCACTCTCCTGAGCACCCACTGACTTTCTGCTGGACTTGCTCCCCCTTGCTGACCTCTCTGTGGCCCAGGAATTCACCAAACCCCCAGTGCCCACCCGAGCTCAGCCCCACAGGGGCTGAGAGCAGTGTCCGACCTGTGGCCACACCTGAACAGCCCAAAACACAGGCAGGTGTCACCACCTTAAATACACCTGCAGTGCCCCAGGTCCTCTCTGCAGAGCTCCCCGAGCTGTCCTCCCCCAGCCCGTGGGGCTGATGTGTCCCCTGGGCAGGACTGGCTGTGATCTACCTCACTGAATTCATGAGGTTCTCGTTATCCTGCTCCTCAGGATTCCTAAGGTTTTTGTCTATCATCGGAAATGGACCTAGAAGGTCTGGTGACATATTCTGTGTGCCTTCATGAAAAAGAGGAATGGCTGTCTCCTGTGCATTTAGCCTGTCTCCCTCGTGCCATGGTGGTTTAAGCAACATCACATTCTTAACCCCCAAGCTCCAGCTGACATCACCAAGAGTTTTTAGAGACTGCAGTGACCTTGAGAATGTTCCTGCACAGTGGCAGGATCAGGATGTCAGCATTACTGCTGGAATGGGGTTCTTTTAACAGGACTTTGCTGAAGAGGAAGGAAGATTTAGCTGCTGCTCGACCAGAGGTGGGGGGTGCTGTTGACATCTGTAACCAGATCCTTGTTTAGGATTCTGTTAGCAAAATTTATCACACACATTGAACCTCATTTTTCCCCTAGTAAGAATATTTCTTTCAGCTATTTAGTTTGCATTTCATGAGACCTTCTGCAGATGCACTGAGCTGTATCACTCTATTCTGCTCATAGAGCATCCTGAGATCTAGATCCTTCAAAACCTGGGTGTATTGTAATGACTGTATAGAATATCTCAATGAAATTCTACATCTGCATCCTTGATAATTCACTTGATTTCAAGTGGAAATATTCATTGCAGCTTTTGCAAATGCTGATATAAGCCATGAGTGTTCACAAAACTCAACCTCCTGTGCCCAGATTCTTCACAGAGTTCATCATATACATGGGATCTCCTTTTTCACAGGAGTTGTGTAAAATATTGCCTCTCCCTAATGAAATTTCTATTTTTCCCCTCTCTTGTTGCAATTACAAATGCATTGTTCAAGTACACCATGGTTGTGCTTCTTTAATTTTGTTATAACACCCAGAGAATAATTAGTTCTGTATCTTCTAACAACAAACAAATATATTCATTCAAAACTTAAATATTTACTTGCCAAAGAGCCATCACAAGTTGTCATGAGTGCTTGTCTTCATTATGTGTGGGAAATAAAATGGACTTTGTACCACAGTTCTGCTGGTATAATAAAGGATTATGACCAACAGGGGAAAAGTGACCCCAATTGTTGGAAAGCAACACCCCCTTCTCATTAAACTTTACTTCATATTGCAACAAGCTCAGGTCTTATCAAATACAACAAGTTCAGACTTTTTACTGTGCTGAGACAGCCTGTCTGCTCAGGAGGTACAGGACTAACCTAGTTTAGATTTGGAGAAAACCTTGGGTGGTACCAAATATCCAGTGATAGGTGAAACATGTGCAGCCAGAAGAATTCTTATTCCCTTCCCATCTGCCAACATGGCATTGATGAAGTGGGAATGCTCCAAATAAAAAATAAAACCAAATTTATTTAAAAGCCCCAGAATCAACATATGGAAAGCTAAAGGCAGACAGGTTACCCAAATATCTGCATCCAACTGCTTTGTCCTTTCCAGCCTGGTGGGGATAGATCAGAGAGCATCAAAGATCCTGCTTTGGGTCTTGTTTTAACAGATCATAATTGTGCACAACCCATTGTCTACAGCTGAAAACAGCACTGGGACTGTTTTTGTAACAGAGATGCATTACATTAGATGTAAACACATTTCCTTAGCATTTACTGGACCCAAAACCTAGAAGTCCCCTAATTTCTCTTTCTTGGACACATCAGTTGTAAGTAAAACCCTCTGCCCTGTAGCTGGGGCACACAATTTACACTCCTACACAGCACATTCTGTTATTCTCCACGTTTGTTTGCTGGCACTGGGGAATCTGATTTTTCCACATCTTCTTTGGAACATCATGATGCTGGAGGTTTTGAATTTTGACCCTTGCCTTTGGGCTATTAAACAGATCTTCCAGTCCTTTTGGATTAGATATCCCAACTTTTAACTGGCTTTAGGAGGTCAAAACACATAGAGAAGACCTTTAGCTTTTTATATCAACTAATCTATTGCTAAAGCAGCAGCAGTCTCCCTCTCTCTGCAGATATGCTAACCTCCTGTCACTACATGAAAGGGTTTAACAGTTTCTAGGGCACAGAATACACTCAAGCACAGAATTTTGAACTGCTTTTCACCATGGATTTCATGTACAATTTGAGGCTTGCAAGGCATTACCCAAATGAGACATGACAGTTCTGCTTTTCCAACAAAAGTAGCAGTAGCCACAAACACACGACCTGTGACCACGCTCAGGTCCCAGCAGAGCCCTGCATGGTCAGAGAAATCAGGTGTGCCCCAGTGCCATGAAGTGCCAGAGCTTTCTGCCCACACCTGGGGCTCTGCATGGGCACACCTGGACTCAAGGGCACAGCTCCCTGTGGGCACAAGGCCCCACCCAAGAGCTCTGTGTCCCTGTACAGCTCTCCAGACCTCTTCCACACCTTCCAGGGAGGATGTTGTGCCCAGCTGGAGAGCAGAGCCAGGCCCAGCAAGTGCCCCGTGCTGCCTGCAGCCAGCCAGCTCTGGTGGTGACTGGGCACAGCCTGGGCCAGGTTACTGCCCAGGGCATTGCCAGCCTGTGACAAAACTTCCTAAGCCACTTTTAACCATGTTTAGGATAGAGCTTTATGCCCAGGCTTTAGATAAAAAAAAACATGTTGTGTGTTTCTAGGCATGTTCACAACCCTGAAACAAAGGGAATCTCACCTTGATGATCCATGGCCAGGTAATGAGTTAAGAGCTGCATGTGGCTCTGTGCTGGACACAGGGAGCTTTTTCAGGAGCAGGAAACAGCCACACTGTCAAATTTTGCTCCTTGAGAAGATACCTGGGAACACTTTTCCAGCACTGGATCAACTGCCTCAGTCTTCCAGTGTTGCCTTTTCTTCTCCTTAGCTCTCCCTGCCCAGCTCTGGATTCAGGGATGCTTAAAAGCCAACACATGTAAAGGTTCTTTGATCTCAGCTGTTACACAGATAACCAGAAGGTAGGCCCTCCTCAAATGCACTCCAGCAGTGATTTTCTGGGAAAACAGGCAAACTTTGAAACGTGAGACTTGCAACAAACAGCTGAAAAGCAGTTATTTCACCAAAGAACTGCCTGTGCTCACACAGCTCATAAAAACAAACCTGGCAGAGTTTGTGCTGATGTCACTTTGGCCCTGAACAGATCCAAACCTGAAAACCTAGGGCAGTGTGGAGAAGTCTTTCTCCCTCATCCAGAATAGGAAAAAACTGTGTGTTGCTGATGTGCTGAATACTGAGCAGTAGATACTCTCAAATAATTTTCCTGGCCAAGACCCTTCAGCAAGGAGTTTAAATCTGCCTCTTGGTCCTGCAGAGATCTGTCATGAAGGAACAGAGCTGCTCACTCACCTTCCCATATGTCATCTCCAGCAGCATTCTGACTGTCCAGAACATTTCTATTATCCACCTGTCAGTGATAAAATGGAGAAAAGGAAATATATGGTCTGATCTGTAGATTACACTTTACTGAAAGGGTAAGGAATGGCTTCAATAATGTGTTGAAAAGCATGGTATATTTTCTATATCAGGATCTTTTTATTTTTTTATTTCAGGGCTTTCACTTAGGGAAATAAGCTATCACTGGAACTGAAAGTCTTAATTTATTGAATATTTGTAATTAGATATTTGATTATGTTCAATATACAGTATCTTTTGATGTGCTAGTAGCCAAATGCTGCTACAACCAACATACTGATGATGACCAGTGTATCTTCCCAACAGCAGTGTCACCCTCATCTTAGAGGCTCTTAAATTCCTTCTCAGCAGATGGACACATGTATACACATCCTCATTACCCCCATGTGCTGTGTCAGGACTGCAACTACTCTCCAGGGTGGGCTGTGCTCCAAAGGGATGTATCAACACCCCTTGGACAGCAGCACCCACTGGGCTGGTCCATGCAACCCTACACATGCACATGTGAGTTATCTGAGGTCTGTACAGCCCCTGAACTGGTCTGGAAAGATGTTCAAATTAATTAGAATTATCATTAGCTGCTTGCAATGCCTTGTAGTGAGCTAGAGCCTGGGCTGCCACCCAGCAGGGGTGACAGCCTCCTCTCAAACAGCTCTACCACAAAAATACCTTCACATCTCAGGATGTGGCCCTTGGGAAGCCACAATAACTGAGGATTTTCCAGATCTGCAGGGGGATTTAAGCAGCTTGCAGGGGAGCAGACTCTCCTGAAACATTGCATCTCAATGCTGACATCCCCTGGGGGGAGAATAAGTAGGAGTTAGGACTTAACCTTTTGGGATGACAGTATGTGGCATATGCTTGAGATAATCAGTGGAATTGCTGAGTGAAAAGCTGTATTATCTTGAAATAAATATGGTTCACCCAGAAAGGTATTAAAACTCAGCCTCATGCAATATGAACAATTGTTCAAATCCTGGAGCATGCAGCCCTGAGCAGTCACTACAACAAAAAGGGATTAAGTGCCTCTAATTATTATTACTGTTATCCAAACATTTTGCTATCAGTGAGCCTGTAATAAATAACCACGACACCTCATGGGTACAGCTATCAAATTTACTGTCACTAGCTGAGCTGCTCTGATTAAGAGCCAGAGTTTTTCCAGTAAACACACAGATCCCTCTCTAAGGACTGAAGAATAAATGAGAACTGAAAATCTAAGGGGGAGAAAGAAAGGGCTACCAGGTGAGCCTCATTCTTTGCTCAGGATGTCACGTTTCTGTAAATATAAAAGACAGTGGTAACAGAGTCCTTACCCACTCACAGGGACTCCTCTCTTGTGTTATCCATCAGTTATTCCACAGGCTGGAAGCAGCAGAGTGCTGTAGTGCTCATGGCACATCCCTACACCAGCACAGGAGACAGACAGTGTGTCCTGTCCTGGAGACCCTCAGCATGAGCAATCCTCCTGTTCTTTTCCAGGCTGCTTTAAAACACCTGTAAAACAGGCTGAGTTACTTAAAGCTATCCTGATGCTTAAACTTACAGCTGAGCTTCTCAAAATAGATTTTATGACCCTTCAGAGACAGACACTTAACACAGTTAGTTTATGTTTACTCAGCTTCCCCCATTTTTATTTTGGTTCACCAGCAATTTCTGGTGAAGTTTCCAGCCCAAGTCTCTAAAGGTTTAATCTTTGGTAGTGAACAGGACTAGAAGCAATCAAGGAAGAGCCACCCTCTTAGATAAGGTTTTGTAAATTCTAGACATTCAAGTGCAAATAGCTGAAATAGATCAGTTTTCATCTGATAGTTTTTCTTTTCATGTTTTGGAGACAATAAATGCTTTTCCATGTTCCTCTGAGGATTTCAGCATTGCCTTACCCTCTGTTTTTTCCTGAGAAACGTGATGAAACAGAAAAAGTATTCCCATTATCTTCTGGCATCTCCTGCTGGGACATAAACACCCTGCCCCACCTGAGACCCTGCCTTCAGCCACCTTCACTTGGACCCCAGCCATAAGTGCTCTTTACCAACTTTAAATGTTCCATTGCTTCTCTCAGTGCTGCCCTCACTCCCGTTCAAAGGCTCCCTTCTTGCTGCTGAGCTGACATCTCTTTCCCATCTGTTGCCTCCAAGGATCCTCTGCACTGGGCAGTGAAGCCTCATGGCAAGCTGGACTGATTTCACTGGACACCATGCAGTCTTTGGAAACTTAAATAACCAGAACAAGAAGCAGCCCTGTCATCCATATCTGGAGCTCTACAAAATCCCCTCAGGTCTGGGAAGTACAAACTTCAGTGGGAGCTTCCTCTGTGCCTGGGGCACTCACAAAATCCAGCTGGACTCTCCAGCTTCAAGTGAGACCTGTGGCAGCTTCTCCTCACCTCAGGCAGCTATGGTTGTGTTCAAGGGTCCCAGGACAAGTGAAGAGAGAGAATCTTGACTCCATGTTTCAGAAGGCTGATTATTATATTATGATATGTCTTATATTAAAATGCTATACTAAAAAGAATAGAAAGAAAGGATCCATCAGAAGGTTGGAAAGGAATAGAAGATATGTCTTATATTAAAATGCTATACTAAAACTATATTAAAAAGACTATGGAGAAAGGATCCATCAGAAGGCTGGAAAGGAATAGAAAGGAATGACAACAAAAGCTCCTGACTCTCAGAGAGTCCAAGCCAGCTGCCCGTGATCGGCCATTAATTAGAAACAACCAACATGCACCAATCAAAGATGCTCTCAGAGAGTCCGAGCCAGCTGCCTGTGATTGGCCATTAATTAGAAACAACCAACATGCACCAATCAAAGATGCACCTGTTGCATTCGACAGTAACAGATAATTACTGTTTTTCTTTTCCTCTGAGGCTTCTCAGGAGAAAAAATCCTGGCAAAGGGATTTTTCAGAAAATATCATGGCGACAAGCAGCAGGGATTGCACTGCCCCTCCGTGGCTGTGAATCTGATAGGAACCACATCTGTAAGCCACCATCCCTCTATCAAACTGGTGAAATTATCAGACAGTGTCAGAAGCTTTTAGGAGGGATGGACAGACACACAGAGTGTGGAGAAGCAAAGTCCAAATCTGTCTTTTGAACCTGAGCTCATGGAAGTGCACTCTGCCTGGGCTATAGAGGGGGATCTCAGGGGTTTCATCTCTTCTCTGGGACTCAGCAGCCCTGAGATGCTTTGCAAAGGTGGTTGTTTACTCTTTGCTCCTCCAGATAAACTTTTCCTTCCTTGCTATACTGTGGCAATCTCCCCTCAGCAGATGAAGTGGCTCCTGCTGATCTCTCCAAGGGGCCATTGTTTGTTGCTGTAACAATCAGAGGAGCAGCAGGAGGGGTTTAAACAGCACACACAACTCAGAGAAGATGGGAAGAGAGAAGGAGAGGGCAGAGGGAGAGAGAAAAAAAGAAGGGGAAAAAGAAGATGAACAGGATTGCTTCTCCTAAAGGTCCACAGTTTCCCAGGAAGAACAGAAGAAGAGAAGTGTAATCCCAGCTGTCCCTGCTAAACACAGCACAGGACAGACACACTCCTTTCCTGCTCCAGGCAGCTGAGTAAAAGCAGCTGCTTCCTGAAGAGCCATAGGAACTTGTGGGGCTGTTCCTCCTCATAGCTGAAAAGGACTCTCACAGATCACAAAGTGTTTCCAGTCCCATCTCACTGATTTTCCAGGAAGCTCTCTCAAGCATCCACCAGCAGTACCCAGAAACTCACTCCTTGGAGCCAGAGCAGAACAAAGAGAATACAGAGAGGCAGCAGAAAGTCAAGGGGGAGGAAGGCTTGGCAGAAAGTAAAGTAGCTTCTTTTCTTGCTGGAGTTCTTTATCCTGTAATTTACCTACAGCAGAACTGTGCAAATTTGCAATAATGTCTGGGAGACCCATTGTGAGCTAGTGAACCTTATGAATTACAAAGTAATTGGAAAAACACAATGAAAACAATGTTTTGCTCCATAAAGCATTCCTAGTTCCTTTACTGGGATGGCTACAGGTCTAGTTATTTAAAAGCACTTTGCAGTATGCTGCCATACTTCAGAGGAGATGCTTAGCAAAGAAACAAACAAATGCTGAAGTCCTAATAAAGAGAGATTTCACTGTGAGCAAGCAGATCAGAGCTATTACAGCGGTAAAAAAAAGTTCTAGGAAGAAATATCTAGAACCAAATGAGCTGTATTGGGTTTTACAAGAGTGCAGGTTGGTGAAATTACCTTTGGGGCTGTTGTACAAACTCCCACTCAGTCTCCTCTGTTTTAGGGAAGCTCCTTTGTCCATGTGCAGGTGGCACAAGGCAGGGCTCAAACCCCTGTGGTGTGAGCAAGGAGCCTCCTCTGCAGCCTCTCCTCTCCTCCTGCAGCCCTTGGAGCATGCTGGGACAGGCTGCTGCTGGGATGCATCGCACAAAGCCATGCAGGGAGAACAAAATCCTCTGCCATAACACTGGCAGAGCTCAAAATGAGTCTGGGAATGGACAGCCACAGGCAGAGCTCACCCCACGAGCTCTGGCTGAGCACTGAGGGGCTGCACGGGCCAGACTGCACTTTCAGGCCCATCCTGAGCCCCTGACACGCCTCAGAACCACTGCAAAATGAGGAAAATGTTGCTCTCTGCTTCTTCATTTCTCTCTACCTCCAGCTATAATACTGATACTCACCCCTCATATGCACAGTAATAAATTAGGAACACGCACAAGGTTGTAAAGATGGTTGTTTTCCTCCCTTTTTTCTTCCTCTGGATTTGCTACAGATGTGCTAGTTAGTGACGAATGAGTTTAATCCTTGTTCTTTTTCTTTGTTGATTATTTACTGCTATTTGATTGTATCTACAAAAGGGAATTTTCTAATATGTAGTGTCTGTGTTAATGGGATTTGGGGCATGTGTAAATCATCTGATCCTGATACCCATGGTGGGATAAGTATTTCTGAGATGGATAACTGCCCACAGCCCCCTTCAAAATCCACCATGGTGCTTTTTAATCCTCTTATTTTTTTGGACCCTCTATGAGGAACCTCCCTTCTCCCATTAAAAAACCTGTGAATGCTTTCAGAATTTGAAGAAACCAAAATCCTTCTAATGCTTTTGCAGATGATTTGCTTAGGGTTGCAGTTCAGCTGCCTGAATTTTAAATCTTGATGTTATTTGCATTTGTATTACCTTAATCAGAACAACAGGCTGGCCTTACCCCCAGATGGCTGATTCCCACAAGGGTGGGGTTTGCTTTGAAATTGTTAAAAATTCCCATAAGTCTCTATCATTGAGTATGTTTTTTTCCTGCTAAATTTCCCCTTTTTAATAAGATTATAAACATAAGACGTTCAATATTTGCAGTGCTAGGATACACCTTCCCAGCCTTTTTCCATCAGCACTATCAGTGTTTGGCCCCAAGCCTGGTCCACATAAATCACGTGAGGCAGGCAGTCACCCTCAGTGCTGCCATACAAATCTAGCAGGCTGACCTTTAAAATAACACTGCAGTGATCCCATTTTCCATGTCCAGAGATGTGTTTATCCTAAAGGGATCCCACTGCAGCACTGACTGCCCCTGGGACCCCGGGATCTCCAGTGCACACAGCCTGCACAGCTCAGAGGCTGCAAGATTTGGGGCATGGAAACCAGCACAATCCAAAGGTGCCCGTGAGCCTCTGATTCAGTCTGAGCAGAATCAAATCCTCAAAGTTTCCCTGGGTAGCTCCCAGTGAACTCTGCTCTGTGCAGCACAGAGGGGATGAAGAAAAAGAGATTAAAGAGTTGGGCACAAGAGGAAAAGAATGGCAGTTCCTTCAGCTGAGGTAGGAAAGGAAGAGGGAAAGTAAGTCTTGGGGATAAGTCTTAAGAAAGGGTGCAAGGAGAGAAGAGATATCAGCTTGGCAAGTAGACACAGCTATCCTACAAGTTACATTTTCCCCTGAGAAACACTTGTGTGTGGACAGATGGAATGTAGGAGAATAGAGATAGTGATGGAGGTAATCTCACCCCTAAGGAGTTACAGCTGCACTAATTACCAAGAATTAGGAACAGGCCTGCCCTTAATAGACCACAGCTAGGTCTAATTAGGGTGAGTATTATAAAAGAGTAGGTTGGCTGGTTGAGAAGTTAAGTTAGAGCTGGAGTTTGTTGGCTGTGCTGGGAAGAAGAAGGCGTCAGTGCTGTGAGGAGCTGCCCATGAGAAATCACCAAGAATGTATGAAGCTTTTGTAATAAGATGACAACACTTGTGCACCCAAAAGTTTGCCTATTCTTTCTAAATGTGACAATTAGAGATATTCCCTCTTCCCACACATCTCATTCCAAATAGAAATTAACTGAAATTGAATGACAGGGGATTTAGTTCTCTTACAAGATCAGGTTTTCTGTCTGACTTGTGAAATGGCAATACAACTTGGATAAAAGTTTGGGAAGGACCAGTTTCTGCCAGACACAGAAAATTCCAGCTCGGGAGTCTGTGATGTTTCTGTAAAAGCTCTTTTAACTTTTAGTAAATAATGTTTTAGCAAATTTTGAGTGAGGATGACCTTGGAAATAACAAGAGATTTTTTCTCAGTTTTAGCTAAGTTTTGCTGTCTTCTCAGAAAGTCCCCTGAATACACAGACTCCTCATTTACACACAGAGAAGACATTGCCCTTCATGCAGAGGCACAAAGAATGCTGTGAGGGTAAGAAAACATCATTGCCAGGCACCCACAGGGAGAGGTGACTCAAGACACCCACACGTCAGAAAGCAAATGCAGGGTTCCCATGTTGATATTGATGGTGCAAAGCACTGGGGAGGCTGTGATGGGGACAGGCTGGGCTGGCTCTCCATGGGGCAGAGCTGCTACAATAAACACCTCCTCAGGAAGCCCCTGCAGCGTGGGCAGTACAGCTCTGACAGGATTAGCCTTCCCTAAAACACAAATATCCAACAAACAAACAAACCACCAGTGGCACTTTGTCCTTCACCATTGACATTTTGATCCATGAGACTGTAAGAACCATCCCGTTGAACTCACTTAATGTGTGTGTTTTGAGTGCTCCAGCTGTTCCCAAAGTTCCTTCCAAACCTCTTTATGTCTCCTGGTGAACCAGGTTTGGTCCTGCCACAGTAGTGCAAAATGCAGCTGACAGCACCATCACACAGACCAGGCTCTTAGAGTTTATCCAAACTGTAGAAAATAAATAGCATAAGTAGTGCTGCTTGCTGTGTGCCATTTGGGTGGAATACATATCAGCATGATATGCACGGAAAAATTTCATTTTGTCTGACTGGAAGACATAGCATTCAGAATGGAAGATTACAAGAAAAAAAACATGACAGTGCAGGGTATATTTTGAAATATCTCCCAGGTGTTAAAAACTGTTTGAGGGTTGTTATTTCCACAGATCTAGACTCTAACATAAAACACAATGATTTTCTGTCCTGAGAGAGCAGGGTGGCTGGATGAGACAGCTACACCCTTTTCAGTAGAATATCACAGGTGGGAAT